TAAAATAAATTATGTATTATTGGTCGCTCGTTCGCCGATCACGAAATACAGCGTATCCATAATACGGAAAAAACGGTATAGAGATTTGCGTTGGGAGCTGCAGCGATCTGCTGACGTACACCGTTCGAGGTTGCATCAGCATCTCGCCATCGTAGTGTAGGGTTAGAGATACGAATCATACTACTCTGTGTACATAGGTATTTTTTTTTACCTTATTTATATTTATCAATTACAATCAACTGGTTCCAGCAGATCACACCAGTCTTTTACAACATCGAACTCGTCGATATCACCACCGATAAGCTGTACGCTGATATATTTTCTGCCACGGTCATCCCGTAGCAGTGTTTCGCAGCTCTCGTCGCGAAAAATTGCCGTACACCGTATATGCCTGATGTTGCGTCGGGATGCTGTTCGTGTGTCCATTGCGTAGTACGCCAAATTGTTCAATCCTTCGGCGTACTCCCCCTCCTCATCGTTGCAAGCGTCGTGGGGTGTATAGGTTTCCCACGTATCGTCGAGTGCCTCTAGGTACGTGTAAAGGCCGCCAGGCATGCTGACCACGCTTTTTCGGCATTTCTTATATTTTAGGTGCGATGGACCATCCCGCGTCGTCAGGGTAACACACCTAATAAACTCTGTCAAACTAAATCGTTTCTCCAGAGTACGCAGTGCTGTCTCGTACGCCCGCATAGCCCTCAGGCACCACAGTGTGACGCAGCTTTCGCGTAATCTCTCGAGATGATTGAATGCCGCTAGCCAGGCCTGCGACTCCAGACGCATAGGTGCACGGTGCGGTAGTTCTTCCGGTGTGGGCCTGCTCCACCTTTTCCTCAATATCGCTAGCTCTGATTTGTCCATAGGGCGTAGATACGTGATGCGGCATTTGGGACTATTATCGTTGGACATACGCCATTCCTCTTTCGCCAACCACTCATGGGTACATATGCCCTGTGAGTAAGGACTATCGTTAGAACGCTGATCGCAGATAAAACCCAGCGTTACGCTACAACGTGTGAAATCACGGTGTCCTTCAGTCAGTATCGTTGCTATAGACAGTTCGGGTATTATCACGGGTCTTATACCGGACGGCCACCCCTTACGGCAGATCATGTCAGGGTTATCATTGTATAACACATCAGCGTCCAGCACTCCCGGTTTCGCCATGTATATCGAGACTAGCGGTACACCCATCAAATGGCCCAATCTCAACCACTCGCGTACGGCCTCTTTCTCTGGATCGTGCTCAGGGTTGCCGTACCGATAGAGGGCCCGTGTCTTCGCCCGCTGCATACGTCTATGCCTTGGATCGTGCTCAGGGTTGGCGTACCAATAGAGGGCTCGTGTCTTCGTCCACTGCATACGTCTATGCTTAAAAAAATCGTTGTCGTCGTAGCGAGCTATTTCTTTTTCTTCGGTGTCTTTCGGTAAATTTTTCACTGTATCGTTTTAATGATTCTACTACTTTTCTTAGACTGTACATTGCTGCCTGCTCGCGCGTGCCCCAACCGCGTGTTTTCTTTTTCACAGGATCATCTTAACGCTGATGTAGATGTACCCAGCATTACCGGGATTCACGTGAATCACTCGCTATAGGATATCAGCATCTCGTCATTTTTGATACATCCTGCGGTATCAGCAGTATACTCTATCATGGCCATAGGCTCTTTGTTCGCTGCATCCTATGAAAACGGGGTGTGGCTATGGTGGTGGGTGGGGACATGTTCGACGATATTTCGATGACCTGTTTTTTACATATCGCCTTAGACAGTACTGCTCAGACCATCGCACCGATCGTACAATAGCATTTACTACAATCATGTACAAGAAGCAAGTACTGCTGTCTGCTGTGTACGGTCTAAACTGATGGTTTTCGAAACAAGTGATTACCGGTTTCTCTTTAAATCGTTCGGGAAGCTTATCACCTATCATACGCATCGTTAATCAAGATTATTCCGGCGTGGAGTTTGAGCTAACCGAATGGGCCATCATCACCGACCACTTCCCTGTCATCGACAAATTCTTTACCGCCGAGGATAACATCAAGGAGGTACCCGAGGCTTTTAACACTCTTATTCTCATGGCCACTCATGCGCTAGCCTTCACGTACTCATGCGGTGAGCGGGCAATTATTATCAAACCGGCAATGCCGGTGTCTACGGACAACGATGGCTTAGGTATTAAAAGAGCTAGGGCATACACACCTACGGTTGTGATGAAGAGGGTGTCCTACCTCAATCTCCAGAGGGTCGTGCGCTGCGTAACCTTTCAAATAACTAGGCTACGCGAGATTACCGACAGTGCTAACAACTGTAAAGAAGAACAGCTATAAATAGGGCCTTTTTTTTGTAATAAAAAAACTGTACGCTTGATGTTTCTTGCAAAATGTATATAATAAATTTTTATTTTAAAAAAAACTTTTTTTTTTGTTTCCTGCACCTCCATTTCCCTATATCTTCTCAATAATTTATAAAGCATTAAGCGTATTTCGCTGTACGTTGTTATTCGACGCCGCCGTACGGCTGCAGGGATTTTCACTTCGCCGAGATAAAGACATTCTTCAGAGGCGAACTGAACCCTGATTACATCATTGTTCGGAGAATGTCACGCGGCTTGGGAAACGGGCAGAATCGGGGACCAGGCCTTACCAATTAATCAGGATAAGTTTTTACGACTTAAAGCAGATTCGCGTCAACAATACGGTAATAATCGAAAATGTATCATGCGCTACAGCTTTATAATATACATAATGTGTCTTACAAAATACGGTGTTCTATTTTACCACGGGTACACTTATCTCCTTAGGATAATTAAAAAGTTACCGACCGGCGGTCAATGCATAATTACCGACCGTAATAGGCCCCTGGGGGCATGCAACGCCGCTGCTACTGAGTTTCGGGCCTTAGGACCAGGTCCGCATGGTGGAGGAGCAACAACATAGGTTGGCGGTGGGGAGAGCCGACCACATTGGCGAGGGGGTGACGCCATAGTGCGGTACGGGGGGTCAGAGCGCTGCGCGCTCCATGACTCACAGGGGACAGTGGTGGGGGTTTGTTGTGACGGCCAGAAGTCGTATGTAACTACTTGTACGCATTCGTCTATTAGGCTTACTGACCTTTTAACGTTCAACTGTTACGTCCTATGCGTGAGCGACCGTTTGCGGGAGCATCAGGGAACTAGCATAGGTGTTGAGATCAAAGATCACGTAAAAGGTATTGGGTTCTTGCCACTTTAAGGTGCTCATGCACGCCTATTTGTATTTATGTCCCTTGGTCGATAGTTAAGGTGAGGATTACAAGCAGATACTAGATATATTAAATCGGAAAACTCACTTCTTCTACGTGAGTGTGGTTCATGCTACTAGCTAATGGGTTTATTTGGGTGTAGGAGCTAATAGGTTCAGGCTTTTTGAAATCAAGAGAAGAAAATATGGTTTAACTAAATATAATGAAACAATAGGTTAGAATACAAGTAGCCGGTACAGTCAGATGTAGGAGAGAGTATATTAATCTACTAACAGAGCGAAATTCGAATAGCACTGTATATGTGATCGTCAACGTGTGTAGTATGAGTTACAAAGATATATAAAAAGATGTAAGAATGTAAGCTACTTACCGGTGGACGAGCAGAGAAAGAGAGAGAGACGGCGTTCGGTTCTCGACGATAGCGAAATAGATTTGGCTGAATGGGAAATTCTTGGTCCAGCCCTAAGGTGGACATTCGCCTAGACGAATGCTTATTGAAATGCCAAGAAATGAGTTCTTTTTGTGTGGACGACCGGCACTGAAGTGATACACTTTTCGCTTGGGCCCTAAGGCAAGCTAGATCAAAATAGGCCCTAAGGTATTTGATCTGCACAACACTTGACTGACGCGGACAATCAGCTCGAGACTCCAAAAGGGATACTGCTCTACCAGAGGATCGATTAGTAACTACGGATGATCGGCATCGATGTTTGCAAGGAGGACTTTGTGTTTGGAGTGGATTGAGTGCAATGTCAGGAAATCTCGGGGAATTTGGATACGTGTTATGGCGTGATCGAGGCAGTTGTATCCGGTCGTTCAATAGAATTCTCGTTACAGGCCTTCGATCGCGGATTCTTCCTTGGATTAGTGCATTGTCGGAATTATCTTGGTGGTGAGGTGGGTGCGAGGGTGGCGGGTAAGAGTTCTGGTGTGCGCGGTATTCGCGGTGCTATAATAAAAATGCTCTTTAGGCACCTCATTTCTAGGTATTTTGTTCAGCATTGCTGCCCGTGCCGTACTTGTTCTTCGTTTGCCGTGATCTCTCTTTCTTCCCGCTCATCCACCTGTAATGTCACGGTGTTGGTGTGATTTCTGGAAATGTGAGAGAGTATGAGATGTCATGTACAATATAGTATAATATAATGATATCCCTAAATTATTAATATATATATATATATATATATATAACTTATAATTTATAATAACTAACGCATGTTCATTAGGGATCGGTTACATCTATTGTGGTCTTTGACCTTTGGTAATGGGAGTATTGAGGGGTGCTGAAAGGGGGTGGGGGGCAATGGGGTTGCGTTGCGTCGGACGTAACACAACAATAATTGAAGGAAAAACAATAGTCGCGATATTATTGTATCAAAGATAACGACTAAATTGGCAGCAATGTTTGTAAACAAGTGGACAATATCATCTAATACTTCCATAAACATATTGCTATAGTATACAGGCCAAACTAGTAAGATTGCATATAAAAAAAAGTAGCAAAATTGCACTTTAGCTGGAAAGTTGGTTAACTTATTTGTGACTATTCCCCATCCCCCTGATTGTTTATGGATTACATTGAAAAATAATAATCTTAGTACCAGGCTATAACTTTTAAAACATTACTAAATGCAATGTAAAGTTAATTTTAACGCAATGCATATAATATTATTCATATTTTTTCGAAGAAAAGCAAGTGTCTCGATACTTATGCACGGTAGTGTGTATAGAAATAACGTAAGGATACACAAACATAGAGAAATATACTCACATCACTCGATCGTAATATTTCGTTTATAGTGGAATATTCAATGTAAATTTATTAGTATACATCGTTTATTGGGCTACAATTTCAGACTCTAATTCTGACTGATAAAATAGAGTTCTTGTACAATATTAAAAATTGTATTTAATTGACTTTACTATATTGAAAACCAAGTTCGTGTTATGTTTCTACTCTTATTATATTTATTTTGAATATTACGTAGCATGCGAACAATTTCAAAAATGAAATTCTCTTTCATCTATCAAAATTAGAATCTCATGTGTCGCCTGAACTTACTTTATATGAAACATCCTACACAAAATGCATTTACAGTCAAAACATTGATTTAATTTGTTTGAGATTTAAAATTTATTATGCCACTTTTTAGAAATTCGTAAATGGATTATTGGGACTCATGCAATACCAATTTCCACTTTTATAAATCATAATTTACCAGTATACTGAAATACTCAAATATTTAAATAAATTTAAATACTTGATCAGAGTGATTAGACATTGTTATGCACACAGAAAATCGAGTTATTAGTCTTTCTTCTTTGGTTTCTTGGGATTGCGAGAGCGAGATTTAGCTTTACACAAAGGACAGATTGGTGCATTTCTATGGATTTGTTGGTGACATGATAGACATGATTTCATCGGAGGCGGTTGTTGCCTGTGAAAAAAAGTAGATTAGAAAATTCATTACATATAACAGAGCAGGGCACCATTATATTAATTGTAAATATCACACTTATTATTTTGCATTAGTGATATGAATATAGCAGGAGTCGACTGGAGTCATGGTAAATGTGTGGAAGTGGATTTTTCTTATATTTTCTGAAGAAAACTGTCAGACAAAGAAGAAAGAGAACTGCATGTGCAATGCAATAAATACTTTACTGGACATAACTATCGATGTGAGAGACGAGCTGATTTACACCAAAAAAACACCTTGAATTCTGAATTAAACCTAATTTTTAATTTAATTTAAGTTTAAAATACTTCTGGTCTAAATCTGAAATAAATCTGACTTGACAATGATGAGGTAAAACTAAAATTGGCTAGACAGTGGCTAGGTAATTCGGAAAATCAATTTCTACTTGGATACTTACTCTCATTGTGACTCTTATATCACAGAGTACTTCTTACATAATACAAAAAAAAGCCGCAAATTGAAACTTACAATTTGGTTCCTTCTATTTGTAGGCAGTGTACGAAGACCCGTATATGAGTAAGCATTTTCATTTTTTATTTAATCTTTGCCTTCCTCATAGATAAATCTTCATTTACTATCGATCATTCAGAGAAAGCAAATTGCAAAATTTAAATCCTTGGCTTCCTCGTATAGGGACTTCAAAATTCAAAAACTGAATATATGTAGAATCAGATCCGTTTCTTCGATGCCGGCCAAATTTAATACATATCACGGTTGAATGATGTTATATATTTTTGGAAAGTTAGAGCTCCATCGGTCAAAGTTGACGGGAGGTATATTGAAAAATTTGATTTTTCGAAAAATTCAAAATATCATAAAATCAAAATTTCTCAATGGATTCTGCCCAAATGCAATACCAACTAACCTTGGATACAAATATTTTAGTCAAGAACTATTTAGAAGAGTACCACAAAATTTGCGATCGCTAAGAGTGATAACGTCCATTTTTTAACAATTTGAAAACGATATAAAATCCGAGCCGCAGCTTGAAACACGACGAAAATTATAGTGAATGAAGGGGTTATAGAGCTGCATATGCCTGGGTTATAGATTTGGGGGCTGTAGCTAAAACCGTTCTCGAGTTATACACGTTTGAATTTTGGGAAGCCATTACACACACGCGCGCATATTAAAGTACAGTCTCTGCCTCACACTCATAAACTGAACCGCTCGCAACATATCCTCTATCTTCGTATACCTGCTGCATTGCAATATGACACACATCGCTATGTTCTGCGCTATATGCAGTTCATTCAGTTCTGTCTCGCCCATACGTACTAACAGGGTAGCACACTATTTAAAATGCGGTGCAATGATTGCCTTATAATGACACATCTGGTGTACGCTGATATTGTATATTGTCCTATTCGATTAAAAAAACTCGTCTTTTTACCTATCTTTTTCAATATATATTCACAGTGGTCTTTAAATCGCAGCTTATCATCAATCTACATTTAGTTTTATCCACATTCATTTTCAGCTTGTTCCTTTTCATCCATCATTCTACTATACCTAGTACCTATTTTTCTTTCCACCACTGCTCTATTTTTTCCAGTTACGTATATTAATGTATCATCAGCAAACAATTTTATTACACAATCTCGCGGACAGATGTCGACTATATCATTTATATGTGCAGTGGCCCTAGCACTAATCCTTGTGGTAGTCCGTATTTTGTTGCTATAGTATCTGAAAATTCCTTATTGAACCTCACCTGCTGTGTCCTGTTGCTTAAGTATGATCTAAACAATTCCCACACTTTACCCCTTATTCCATATTGCAATAGTTTTTCCAGTAACAGTTCTCTGTCCATAATCTCAAATGCTCGTTTCAAATCCATGAAGATTCTTCCCACTATTTTCCCTTCGCTGATGATTGAAAATGCCGTTTCACACAAATATTGCTTTCTAAAACCCGATTGGTGCTCTGTTATGACTTCATTTGATTCAAGAAATTTTTCGATTTGGATTTTTACTACTAACTCTAGAATCTTCTCATATATTGGTTAATAACATATTAATTAGCCGGAAATCTTTTGCTTTTATGACTTTATCTATCTTTGGGATTCGTATGATCGTAGACATTTTCCAACTATCAGGGCAACAGCCCTCACTTAGAGATCCGTTTATTATATCAACAAATGTCTGTTTTATTGCACTGACAGCCATTTTTAGTATTTCACTTGATATTCCTTCTTCTGCACCTTTCTTCTTGGGGAGTCCTTTAACAGTTTTCTCGAGGTCCTCTATTTCGACGTCCTGAAATTTTTCAAGGATTCTTTCATTCCCTATGCTATCCCTAATCAGGATTCTTCTTCCACCTAGTCATCCATATGTATCCTTCGCTATTGAGTTTACTATATTATTAACACTTTCAACATAAAATATGTTAAATTTATCAGCTATATTTCCTTTCGCCTTATCATCCAATATTTCAAAATCTATGTTTCCAGTTTCTCTCATTCCTATTGGCTCTCCTCTAATTAGTTCTTTCAAGGTTTTCCACATTTTTATAGGTTCACTCTTATTTCTGTCTACCATATCCTCATAATATTCTTTTTTCTTCTATCTTATCAGTTTAATTATAGCATTTCTCTCTACCTTAAACTGTTCCCAGCTATTATCCGTTTCCTTGTACCTTGCCTCTGTGTAGGCGTTATCCCTTTTGTCCGCCGCTCTTGTTATTTCATCTGTAAACCACTTTTTGTCCTCACATACGTCCGGGATCTAAACTATCTTTTTTTGGTGCTAATATGTCCAACGTCCCTACAATATTATCAACAAATATCTTTGCTTTTTGATTTATATCCTCATATGACCAATGCCATGCAGAATTTTTTAAAACCGTTGCAAATACTTGCTCATCTATTATACTATAATTCCTGGATTTATATTCTTTAGGTTTACTCTCTGTATTGCCCATTGCTAATTCCATTTTTATTTATGCATGGTCTGTTATTTTTAACTTATGTTCCATCTGCAATCGTACGTTTATATTCCCAAATACAAGATCTATAGTAGTTTGGCTATCCTTTGTTACTGTCGTTGGCTCATTAACATATTGTTTCATTCCTAGGCTTAACATTCCTGCTATTAACTGTTTTTTATAGAACGCGTTTACCGTAACATCTATGTTAAAGTCTCCTATTATTAGACAATCTCCTTTTATTGATAACTCCTGCGATACATCCTCTATGTGTCTTATAAATTCCGCATCTGACGCGCTCGGTGAATGATACACCACTAATATCACACCTTTATATATATTATCATTGACTTTGATTGCAACACTCCAGCAGTTTCATTCTAATTTGTTATTCATTAGTAAGTCATATTTAATACCGTCTCTTACACATAGTATGGCACCTCCTGTGTTCCTATTCCCTGTATCGCACCTAATTACACTATATCCCGCCATATACAATTCACTGTTTTTAATTTCAGCAGTTGCCTCCGTTTCCGATAACGCTATAATTGCAGACTTCATTTTACCTGCTGCCTACTGCTGTATCTCATCCTTATATGTTAGAAGACCGAGCATTTGTGTACCATGTCGTCTCTTCCTTCTACGGTTGCTATTCCATCCATCCCGCTCTCTTCCTTCTCTCTTGTATCACTCTTTTGTATGTTGGACATTCCCGATCGACTGCGCTATGTTCAACTTTTATCTTCAAATGAAATGCTTGGTTTTTGTACGTACAGTTTACAAACTTACTCTCATTCATTGTGAATTCTCTTGCGTTATGATTACCCGCACACTTGTAGCAGGTCTTTTCTCTGCTGCAATTTTTCGCTATATGGTAATATCCCCAGTATTTAAAGCATCGCTTTACATTGACATTGACTGTAAAACGGACATTCCCTTCATCCCACGCTGAGTTTACCTTTGCTTAGTAGCTCCTCGTGAGTTGTTTCATCCACTTCCAGAATTATTGAGCCTTAGATGGTTCATCTTCCATTACGTTCCTGTTCTCTTCCTTTCGCTAGCCTAGTTAGTGTGTGTGTGTGTGTGTGTGTGTGTGTGTGTGTGTGTGTGTGTGTGTGTGTGTGTGTGTGTGTGTGTGTGTGTGTGTGTGTGTGTGTGTGTGTGTGTGTGTGTGTGTGTGTGTGTGTGTGTGTGTGTGTGTGTGTGTGTGTGTGTGTGTGTGTGTGTGTGTGTGTGTGTGTGTGTGTGTGTGTGTGTGTGTGTGTGTGTGTGTGTGTGTGTGTGTGTGTGTGTGTGTGTGTGTGTGTGTGTGTGTGTGTGTGTGTGTGTGTGTGTGTGTGTGTGTGTGTGTGTGTGTGTGTGTGTGTGTGTGTGTGTGTGTGTGTGTGTGTGTGTGTGTGTGTGTGTGTGTGTGTGTGTGTGTGTGTGTGTGTGTGTGTGTGTGTGTGTGTGTGTGTGTGTGTGTGTGTGTGTGTGTGTGTGTGTGTGTGTGTGTGTGTGTGTGTGTGTGTGTGTGTGTGTGTGTGTGTGTGTGTGTGTGTGTGTGAAGAAAGAGCTATAATTAGTGTACCCTACATTCGGTAAATGTATGCACAATACTATAAATATTGTGACGTTATTTTATACCGTCACAAGACTCTGGAAGAGTAACTC